ATATTTCTAGGAAATAAAAAGGAATGAAAGCTTTTTAGAATTAGTGTATAAGTAAGTAGGTACTTATCTGAAGGTCCGCGCTTACACGGGAGCCTAATGTACAATGTCAAACTCGCTACATTTTGCAATTCAATCTCGTTTCATCCGCTTAATGGACGTGACTCAGATAATAATCCAATTACGATTTGCGCAAATGGCATAGATTCTTAGACTCGTACCAAACAGCAGGGTTGCCAGTTGAGACATTCCCACAGAAAAATAAATATTACCTATTCTTGGGAGGTCAATTACATTTCTTCAAAAGTCTTCATTTTAATTGTTTCAAATTAGTGTTTATAGGACTTGTTACTTCAAAGAATAAAATATCAAATGATTTCTCTCTCTTCACATGGATCGCCACTTGTTTGTGCCGTAATATACTTCAATAAAACGAGAGTACATAGATTGTAACATATAATTTTCTCTCATTTCTGGTACATAGACTTGTTGCACAAATCAAATTAGGCATCCCATTTTTTTTATCCACAATGAGGAATCTCTTAGCCTGTATCTCACCTGATGGTAAGTGATTATCAGGCCAAACATTGTGATGTTTTACCAAACTAAACTGAAAAGCACTACCAAAAGTGGAATCTAAATCTTTTTGAAATGTCCTACATTACAGAAAACCTCAGAACATTAAAGTCGTTGCCAAGTTGTGGTTACTATCCATTTAAAATATTGCTTTATTTCTAGAAGTTATATTACACTACGGCTTTTTATGTTATCACCACCCATTTTGGTAAATAGGCGTTTAACTGTCAATCGCTAGTGTTGTATTGGTGGTCCTTTAAACAAGAGATCAATATTTTCCCCATAAGTGTACTACAAATCGTTATTTTGAGGCAAGAAGCAACCCTATTACAACGTTCGTTTGCCCTATCATCGCTTTAGAAGTAAGTTCCAATGAGATACCCTAACATAAACACGTAGACATCTTCTTATTCGAGAGAAACTTGTTACGAAAATAGTCAGCCCAAATGAAAATATTATAGAAGAATATTCAGAGAAAATACAGCCCCTGAAACTAGGGTAATTTTTGATTGAAATAAATTGAATATCATGAAGATTCAGTCCAAAATATTTCAGTAAATCTTGTTCAATTATTCGGGAAAACCCAACCAAAGTTAAAGACAGGTATTTTTGTTCGAAAAAATAACATGATGATTTATGTGGAAAAAAGAAAAACAAACAGCATTCCGCGTTGTCGTTTTGCAAACAAACATACATATGTAAATTCGACAAATATTTTACCAGTGTAGTATACGTGTTACCGAAATCTTGACTGTAACCGCTATGCAAACGGATGATGCCTACTCACGCAAAAAATAAATGTGACCGAATGAAAAGGTTACCCGCAAGTTGGAGGGTAGAGTAGGGATACTATCCTATAGGATCCATTCGGACACTGTCCGGCGTTTCGGTTTGTCCGGAATTTCAGCTTAAATAGAGATGTCAAAAGAATTTGTTACACTTCATTTTGGAAATTGGAATTAATTCTACAACTTTATTATTTACCATTACCATTTTGCTATTTACCTATAACCTGCTTTTTGCACACGTAAAACTGTACCTACTGGATGCGGGCAGCACAGGACCGGTCGTTGTTGAAATCCTTGGGGAAGGACTTTATCCAGCTGTAGACATACAAAGTATTCTAAAATTTTATTCTTTAGAACTTTTTTCAGTAATTTAGTTTGCAAAGGAAATAAAACATGTACCTATTGCCCAAATCCTTCAAAGAACAATGGCCTTTTGTGACCATATCACATAATTATTTTTAATGGCCGGCTTTATGCCAAAACCCTGGCAACCCTACCGTAGAGGAATACAACAAACGTGAATGAGGTTACCCTTTTATTTTGAAGGCGGTCAAAAGTCATAAAGAGGGATGTATGTTGGCGAGCTGCGTCCTCGCACAACACATTGTGTGAGAATACCATTTTCAAAACATTTTTAATGATGCTGATTCACTAAGGGAGAATGGATCTCTATATTTACAAAGCCACTAAATTAATTGCTACCTATTTAGCTAAAATATCTGAATTGTAAATAATATTTTTATGACTCAAGGACTCATGGCGTTCAAAACCTTGGATTCTCCAATCATCTAGGACATAAAATCAATCAACATTCTCCTTTTGGGATCGCAAAAAACATTCATCCCCGTCTTTACGTACCTAGTAGATATGACGATTAGGTACTTGTCACTCGGTATTATGTTTTGCTAAAGCTGAGTTGCACCACCTAACTATAACGGTAACTATGACAATAACCGGTGCGTTTTGTATGGAGTTCGACAGATATTTGACATTTTTCAAAGTTAAAGTAAGATGGTGCAACCCAGCCTAAGTCTATTTAGCTTATTTTCTTGTTAATTTATTCTAGCTACATCTATTTCTTTAATAAAGTAAATAATACTCCCAACAATAGCCAAGTCCAATTACTGGTAACTGACATTGTGATGAGTTATCACAATGCAAATATAATTAATATTTAAATTCCAGTTAGTCTAACAAACAACACGACAAATTCAATTTGCACTCTGAATAATTTATAACAATAACCAAGAAAGAGGCGATGTATATGACGAGAATTTCTGAATTTTAAATAACTTGATTTGACACGTTACCTATCTTTGAAGACTGTCAATTGCCCTTATAAGTGAAATTTCAAACTTATAGAGATAACCAACTATTATATCTTCCTTTAGTGCAGTAACTAAACCAGCCATTCCTTTTTAAATATTTAACCCGCAGGTGGTCTGCCGAGTCTAAAATGCATACCTGTCTAGATCTCTTTTGAAAATGTGAAATATCCGAGAAAAGCTCACCTTTGCATTCATCGCCAACAAGCGTGCAATAGTATACACCCCTCGGAGATCTGAATTACAAATCGTGCCACTCCGCCTAGCCTCAGCTCTGTAAGTTTTATATTTTTCAACGAAAATGCTTACAACGTTACCAAATTGAATTACCCGCTTGGAGTAAGTAAAAACACGCCTTTGAGAGAATTCCGAGAGGGTTCTCATGATCAAACTCCAAACAGAAAGCTGGATATGACCGCAGAATTTATAATATGTTTCCAATTCCAATAGCTGTCAAGAATTTTTAGAAAGATGGTTTGGAGATTAGACTAAAATATTATCGGATTCTAGGAAATTTCCTGCCAGGCCTAACAAGATAAATTTTGCATGCGCGCAACCGATTTAATTTGCGATTTGTAGTCTAACCCCATTTTGTATGCTTGTTCATTCGGGATGGGATAAGACCTAATGTTTCTTACAATTTTCTGCCGCATTACCTTTTTTGGATATGTTTCCAATTCCAATAGCTGTCAAGAATTTTTAGAAAGATGGTTTGGAGATTAGACTAAAATATTATCGGATTCTAGGAAATTTCCTGCCAGGCCTAACAAGATAAATTTTGCATGCGTGCAACCGATTTAATTTGCGATTTGTAGTCTAACCCCATTTTGTAGGTATGCTTGTTCATTCGGGATGGGATAAGACCTAATGTTTCTTACAATTTTCTGCCGCATTACCTTTTTTGGAAGGGAAACCCACTGAGGATCAAGTTTCAATATACGAGCCTAATATCTATAATAGTCATATTTATTACAAGCTTTTTATTACTTTCACATGTCTGGTGTCTGTCGTCAAATCTTGCAACTTAAAATTGACCCACTTCCCGGTTTCCTATTGAGCTGAAATTTTGCATACATGTGTAAGTCCGATGACAATGCAATATTATGGTACCATTGAGCTGGTCTGATGATGGAGTCGGGAGGTGGCCATAGGAACTCCTAAACAAAACGGCGGAAACTCATCGAGTTTGGGTTCGTTGGATTTGTCTTTTCGAGCACTTTAGTGTTAGATAACGTCCAGGGTCCTGAGATTAAGATATAACTAAAAAGTGTAAAATAAAATTATAATAAAAATAAACTTTTTTAAAAACAAGCTTTTATTCTGAATTTCGAAAGCTTGTAGCGCAAACAGAGAAAAAGAGGAATAAATTCCATGCGCGATACAAACTTTCGAAATTCAGAATAAAAGCTTGTTTTTAAAAAAGTTTATTTTTATTATAATTTTATTTATTTAACAATAAAACTAGCTATCTACATTCAAGTAGGTAATCAATTTCTCAAGCAGTATCTACCTTAAGTATATTGAAAATAGGTAACGATAACTATAACTCAATGATAAACTAGTCATGATACATTTAGGACTTAAATAAATAAAGCGTAAATAATGAAACTAAATAACTTGGAGATTAGGTTTTCCCTTGAAACACCTCCTACATAAGACTAACAGAATGACTAAACTTCTGAGCAAACGGGTCTTTGGCTCTATAACGGAGCCTGAACAGTAGAGCGTGCAGTTAAGGTATTCATCACGATTTACATGTAAATGAGACTAACAGTTAAAGGCTTTACCCAAACGTAGCCGGCTGGCTACCAAAGTTCTCTCGGAACTTGCCACAGGAAAATATTATAGCTAGTATGATATCTCGAAACTTCCTGAAGCGTCATATTTAGCAGTTTTGTTTTTTTTCGAAAATGTGTGTTTAGCCGAATTATCATCATCAGTCAGTCGCCACTATTAGTGTCTTAGGGAATAGGGACTCTAGGCTCACTAGGGAGTTAGTTCCCTTCCTGACCGCATATCCCGGGCACGGGAGCGGTGCCTTACAACCACTGCCTCCCGCCCGTACATCTGAACCATCTTATTCTTTTCACATCCGGCTCGAAGATGTACGGGCGGGAGGCAGTGGTTGTNTTGCCTAATCAATCATAATGGCAGAGATTGCAATTCACAAAAAACATGTCGCATTTGCAACGAAAAGCATAACACGCTATTGCACAATGCTTACACGTATAATCGTCCAGTTGCCAACCCAAGTTTTAACAATCAGCGTCATCAACCAAATTATGTGTCACACGTGTCGAACGATCACCAGTCAATGACCGACGTTTTGTTAGCAACCGCCCAAGTTAATGTCTTAGCAGCTGATGGAACTTACAAGACTATGAGAGCCCTCATTGACCAAGGATCTCAAACATCAATAATATCTGAAAATGCAGCACAACAACTTGGAATACCACGCCAAAGATGTAAAGGCGTTATCTTTGGCATTGGAGCGAAAGAAAACACTTGCAAGGGCGTTATTACCATTACCGTAGCATCATTACATAACGACTTCACCATGAACACTGATGTTTTCATAATGCGAAACCTCATCAAAAAGTTACCAAATCAATCCTTCAGCAAGCCCTCATGGCAATATCTCGACAATATACAACTTGCAGACCCCGATTTTAACCGAAGCCGTCCAGTTGACCTATTACTTGGTGCCGATGTATATTCCCAAATTATGTTACACGGGATTATAAAACAAGACCAATCCCAACCTATTGCACAACAAACGCAATTAGGGTGGATACTGTGTGGAAATATCAAATCTTATTACTGTAATGTTATTCTGAACAACTATGACGACATACAAAAATTTTGGGAGATAGAAGATTTGACAGACAAGAACAATAACCAATCAACTGAAGACTTATATTGCATACAACAATACCAAACAGAAACAAAACGCCAACCAGATGGTCGTTATGTCGTCAGATTACCTATGAAACCAGATGCAGATGAAAAACTAGGAGAATCTAAATCTAAAGCCATCGCTCAATTTTACCAATTAGAAAAGAAATTATGTAAAAATAACCAAATAGCAATTGGATACAAACAGTTCATGAATGAATATTTTAATCTCGGCCACATGAAAATAAGCCATAATAACCAAGAAATAGAATGTTTTTTACCACACCACTGTGTCGTACGGTCTGAGTCAACCACTACTGCAATCCGAGTCGTATTCAACGGATCAGCAAAAACGGCCACTGGACTAAGTGTGAATGACCTTATGTACAGCGGACCGAACTTACAACATGACCTCCTTTCAGTAATAATTAAATGGAGACAATATAAAATAGGATATGTAGCGGACGCAGAAAAAATGTACAGACAAATCCTCATAAATGAAGATGATCAGCGATACCAGAAAATCATATGGAGAGATTCGCCAAATAAACCACTTCAAGAGTTTCAATTAACCACGGTTACTTATGGAACAAAAGCCGCTCCATTTCTAGCCCTCATGACCATGCAACAGTTAGCGAAAGATGAAGCTCACAGATATCCAGAGGCAGCCAAAGCATTACAGAACAACCTTTATAAGGATGACAGCACGACGAGGCGCCCCAAGACACATGTATAGTGATAATGGAACGAATTTTGTGGGAGCTAACAATACCATACAACAAGAATATTTCAACTTAAAACAAACCATGGATGATAACATTTACCAAAGTCTAGCAGAAATGCAAATAGAATGGCATTTTAATGCACCATCCTGGCCAAGTGCAGGAGGTATCTGGGAGGCTGCCGTCAAGAGCCTCAAATACCATCTACGTAGAGTACTTGGAGACCAAAAACTTACCTACGAAGAATTTTCTACTCTATTAACACAGTTAGAAGGCTGTTTAAACACACGACCATTATGTGCAATTTCAGAAGATCCAGATGATCTGGACTTCTTGACACCATCTCATTTCCTCAGCAGTGGACCAGTATTAACTCTAATCGAAACTGAAAAAGACCAGCGACCTATGGATCTACGATCTACTATCCAATTTATTAAAGACATATGGCCTAGAGCTAACACACTTAACGCTGATGCCTAATATTCGCATATTTCTTACTTTGTGGTCTCTTACGACATCTATGTAAAAGTGAGGGTAGTCCTATTCCACCACCGACATCATTAGGCTACTGTCGCCTAAGATTGAGTAGAAGATCGTTACATTCTTTGCATTCACACATACATGTACAAAAATTATCTTTGCTTACTATATCCATTTTACTATGGCACAGCTATCCCGTGCGTAATCGATTGGCTGAATTTCAGAGCAAATGTTTTAGTGATAAAACAAAAAGTTTGTTGAGTTTAGAATTTACATTATAATATTGAATGCTTTTCCTATTCCTGCCTTTCATTAGAAAAAATTGGTAAAATGACAGATCAGTCTCTATTAGTACGAGTATGTAGGCCCTTGTACACGTGCTCGATAATCTATAAAATCCAGTAAATGACAATTAATCGATAGTTTATCCAAGTAACGATACCCAAAATAACCACAAACCTCTCGGGACAGAGCTCGAACAACACTTCGTGGTCGCAACTACCCGAAATTGTATTTTCTAGCGGCAAATATGGCAACACTTTTGAAGGGAAACGCCGCTCGAGCCGAATGAGATTAGTATCGAGTGACAGGAAAGTAGCGTACTTTGTCGCCAAAGGTGTCAGCCGCGGAGGTATCGAATATCTAAAGTTTTAAATTCAAGTACTTTTCGAGCTTATTTTTAAGGGCCTATTAAAACGACTCCACGAGTTCAGGCTTCATTGGTATAGCTAGAGAGATTGTTTTATCAGGAAAAAACAAAAACTAGTAAACAATATTAATCATAATAGATGATTAGGCTATTAATTATTACTTATCAAATAATTTAGGAAAGATTTTAATAAGGATGATAAAGCACTACAGGTATATAGGAACCAAAATTAATCCACTTGACGTCTATTGCCGATTAAATAATCTACAAATTATAAAAACATCAATTCACGTCACAAAATATTATGTAAGTTATCGTGGTATAGGTTTATTTTCATTTACATGGTGTTCTAAATATGGACTAGGTAAGTACTCTTTTAGCCCAATATCTCAATACAAACATAAAAAACACACAAAAAGTTTACTTCATGTTTTATGACATGCGGAAACAATAAATCAAAATCATCCAATATTAGATAACACGCAAAACCGAACCTCAATTCGCGAATTGAGTAAAAAACTAGAGTCAAATTCCATCAAATATGTACTTGTCACGGGTGCTCTCGCCAAATAAGGGTCCTGTTTTTCTACCCGACACCGCCAAAAGAATTGTAATGTACCTAATACATTTGCGCTACATACATAGATCACTTAGCCTTATAGATATCACATGAAATACCTTTCAGTTCTGTGTTCAACTTAAAATTGCATCACAATTTAAAACTTAAGGAAACTACTTTTATGTTTCAGCAAAAAAATACTTTAAGAAGTGAAAATATCGCACGTTAGATCTTCCGATTCAACCCAGTCAGAAGCCCATATCTCATAAACTAAAACTGGCATTGTGGCATCTTTTTCTAAAGTCGAATTCAACTTTATATCTGTCCTAAAAGGATTATCAACTGTGCCTATTGTTTTTATAATCTCCGCGAAAAAGAGTTACATCAAGCTCATTGCACTGCATTTTTTCAAATTTCAAATGAATGAAAATGGTGTTCGTTTTTATGTAAGCTTTGTATTTACAATGTTTTTTAAGCTTTAGTTGATTGTACAATCAAGAAGGTGCTGGTGCCTATTGGTCAAAGTTGTCTGTGGTTACATACCAAATATCCCCGTGTTTGAGTTAACTTGTAGATAGGGGATCGCGGGAATCGGGGACATTTCGTAATGGACTCGTCGAAAGTGAATAGCTCCTATTTACCGGCTCCTTGTCGTGTTGAGGTGCGTTAACACTTCTTATTTGATCGGTGGAAGCTTGACTTTTTCAATATCTTATTGCTTTTTATTTTATTTATTTTGTGATTATTTTATTAGATAAATACTTTTTTGTATGTACTCGTATATTATTATCGTTTCGATTGGACTTATTTTCCTTTTTCTAAAGGCGGGCTATATAACTATTTTCCTAATTAAGTGAATAAATGTATTACTTTCAGTTTATAATACATTAGACGATAAAACCTTAATCATAGATATACTTATCAGATTATCTCTAAACAGCTCTGATAATCTTATTCACAAACAATTTGCTGAATAACCATTGATAATACACTGAAATCGCTTTTACACACACAAGAGTACAAGAAAATAAACGAACCTAAACAAAATACTCCTTGTGTTACGTGCAAACTAAAATGGAATACCAAAATCATATTTTATATGAACCCATTCGTTTAGAATTACGTTCATTGCAATTTAACCCGAAGTTTGAGATAGCGAGGCATTTAAATAAAATTAGACTTTCCCCGATAACGATCTCTAGCGTTCAAGTAGGCATTAGGAGGGGAAAGTTGTAAGTATAAATTAGCGCCAGACAGCTTTTCATATCGCCAGATGTCTTTTTCCGAAATACAAATTCTTTTTTATATATTTCGCTTTTTAAATCTCGCAGTTTGTACAACCTTTTGCCTTTGACAGTCGTCATAGATTACCTTAATTTATTGAGGCATTTAGTAAATACTTCAATCTCAATATTTAATTTCTAACCAGACGTAGATCAAAGGTTAGCTACTATGCTGAAGCATAGGCTTAGGTAGGTATATGGCAAAAGTTACCGTAACGAAAAATAGTTTTTTGCTTCGTGGCATTCGACGACTAGCTTTCAAAAGATGTTGAATTTGACAGATTGACTTGATTTTCACGAGTAGAGTCTGAATGCTTCGTTTTTTCTCTATAACGTGATGAGTTCTTTTGTTCTACCTGAGCGGTGCCATTTTGTTGCGGATGTTGTATTTTTTTTCATCGTAGCACTCAATTCAACAGATGATTTTACAGGTATGGTTTTGATCTTAACTAAGTAGTAAAATCCACCACCTCAAAGAACATAATATTATAAGAAAGAGGTACCGAAGCCAAAGAACCTTTTCCTTTATCACAACATAACTTAAGATGGACTTTACCAATTTCATTTGTCTTTTTTATTCAAGTTTTCTAATAATTTGTAGACGGTTCTTTTGCAAAAGAAAAATTAAGGAAACTGCGCAGAAAATTGATAATTTTCAGAAAACTTATGCGTTCAAAGTCGCGGGCACAGCTAGTATACATTATAACTTGCAATACCAAGCCAAGAAAGCGACATCTGGTGAGTTAAAGATTTTTTGCCCTCCTTTCTTAAAACTTGAATAGGAATGGACCCGGCAGATGCAAAATGGACGTCGGCAGAATGATTGAGGTCCAGGAAGGAAAACGTATTGACAATTATCCTACCTGTGACCTACTTAAAAGTAGATAAAGGTAGAGTGTCCGAATTTTCCTCTTGGCTTACCTTTGTATGAATTTTCGAGTTTTGAAGCTTATTTTTAACTGTAGCGGTAGGTGCTTAGCTATAAGCAGTTCCACTTAATGCAATGGCAACATTTTGGGGACTGAAGGTCTGACAATAAAATTAGAATGATAAAATATCTACCTATGTATTTTTATTTTTTACAAAATAATTTAGCTTGAGATTCGAATTAAATACACACTTGGCAAGTGTAGGTAGGTAACAATTTTTAACACCAACTCCGTGCGGTCATTAATAACAAGTTTAATTCAAGATATTAAATATCATGCAGCACCTACTTACTTGCTATGTCTCTAAAATATAAAATAACTTTTCCATATGCAGTTGACTAATTCTACGGAATCCCGAACTCTAACCGTTCATCGGAGTTCAATTTCGCCTGTATTTATATTTGCTAGATAGTTGACTCGACGAATCGCCCCGGGCCTACATAAAAGAAAATCGCGGACGCGAAATAAGCGAACTTGATAAGCGTATCGACCAGATAGAAGACAGAAAGAGTGATAGAAAGTATGCTGACACGCTATGATTTCTCTGCTACAAAATATTTATGAACCTTCAACATCTGATTCTGTTACCTACTTTAGGTTACCTGAATAAGGCTAATTATTAATAACAAGTAGATAAACAGCCGTTTATATCGTTTCTGTGTCAGCCACAAATTAGGTACACCATTAAAATAAGGTTGCCTGGCTCTTGGCTTGAATCTCTACATATTGACTTCACATATTCAATGACAAAGCGGCGGTAACATAAAATAAAATCAATAAAAGAAAGTTTTAAAACTTGTCTTATCAAAGTGGTAAGAATATTGTAAAAATTCTATAAAAGTAAGTTTTATCAAAGTGGTTCTATAACGATATTCATTTTTTTTGGAATACAAATAAATACGACTTATAATGAATAGGTAACACGTATAGCTTTCCACACCCAATTATTTGAATGATGAAAGTTGCCTAAACTAAAGCTACAGTTTTAATCATTTGAACAGAATAGAGTAAACAGAGCTCTTATTTTCGCAGCAATAGGGTAATGTTGGAGCCCTTTGAGCAACGAAGCGTAACATTAATTTCTCTGTTCACGTGTAAACAACAACAATCACTG